TCAAGAACTTGTACGCCGGCCGGCCAATGCCGAGGGCCACGATTCGAGCTCTTAGGGACGCGATTGCTTCCCGCTCGGTCGGGGAGGTGTGGAAGCCTTCGGGGGCAAACGCGACGAAACGCCTCGTGGCAGCGAGCGGCAAGCAGCGAAGAGGCCTGCGGTGGTGGTGGTGGTGGCGGCGGCGGCGGCGGCGGCGGGGCCAGCGGTGCACCGCCCCACGGGGGGCCAACGGCGCTGTATCGAGAAGGCGTTTTGTTACACCGATGTTCTCGGCTTCCCTCGCCGCCTTCCGGCCTCTTTCCCTCGCCCCCGCGATTCTTCGCCGCGATAAACTTTCCCGATCTTCCAGTGGGTACTAAGTGGCGGAATATGACGGCACTTGAGTTTCTTAGGAGCTGACATGTCGATCGTCTTCGGAAGTGCTAACCCGATTAAACGACGAGTCGATCGTGGCGAACAAAAAGAACGCGCCTTGTTACAGGCAACCGTGGAGAAGGCCATCTGGGTGACGTAGGAGTAGTCCAAACGGAAGATATATATTTATTGAGCTTATAAAATACACGGGTATGAAGTTTGTGTTGCGTGTAGAAGATATGAATTTTATTTGATAAAATAAATAATGAAACTGTAGTTATTACATGAACACGTTAGATAGATAGATAGATAGATTTATTAAAGTTCGCTTTGAGCTAATGCTCGGTGGCAAACATGTTGCTTAAACAAAAATCTTGCAGAATGATATTTCCTTCTAGGTAATTAATAAAAGTATCCGTGATATGTATACATGTAGTATAAGTAAAACAGAATATGACATGCATCATTCATGTGTGTGTAGGAAATAGCCCAAACGGATTTACGAAAGTTCGTACAGTTGTATTACAGATTTCATGCAGTTGTATTATTTAAACTATTATACTATTCGCTTACAAAATGTACAAAGTATGTGTAGTGTAAATAAAAGAAGTGTTAAAGCATTACTTCATATCACCGACTATGTAAAACATTTGTAACACTCTCAATCCGTTTCGCAATTTAGAACTTTCTCGGGGGATCGAGACCGAAACCGAGCAGCTGCGTGGCGATGAGACCGAAGAATCGAATTGATTGATACAAAAAGACGACAGCGGGAAAAAGCAGTAGGCTGACTAAGGAAACTGATAAAAAGAAGAAAAGGATGTACGCATGAATAAAGAGAGGCGAGCGATCGGAAGAGCAATAAAACAACGCCGATTCAACGCATCCAGACATCCCTCGGCCGCCGAGTCCTTACGTCGGGCAGTTGGAAAATACATTCACAGTGAGGAATTGACCAGGGCTTGTAAGCCTCTTTCAAAATGGGGATTATATCATTGCGAGTATTTGAAAATAAAACAAAACGCAAAATATTCTAATACTTTATTCTTTTCGTGAAAATCGTAAAGGTATGGAGACTTCGGCATTCTTTCCGTAGATTCATCAGCCACTTCAATATGACAGCACCTTCACCCTCTAACCACTGTGTGATTTACCTATCGTTTTTCTAGGGGAGGAAACGGACGTACAAAATTTCTTTAGAAAAGGACACGGGGTAATTCTCAATGAATTACTTGTCGGATTACGCCCTGCGCTTCTTGTTGTTATAGACGCTTGTGTTAATTTTATACGAAGCGAACAGCTTAACGCTGCGTTCCTAGTCGTCGCATTAGCTGGCATTCTCATTTCTACGATTGGTGACTTCCAAGGAGACACCAAGTGAACGGTGATTTCCAACAGTCAACGAGTTATCGGCTACCGTCGTATTATCTTATTTTCCAGGGCGCTTATTTTGAGTTTCAAACGAAACGAACAGCTTAATGCCGTAGACCGAATCGTCACTCGACTCGGCATTTTCATTTATACATTCTTCCCGCTACCAAGGCCCATTAAATTGTCGAATGTTCGAGTGTCCGCCTCGTCGTCGCGAGGGGCTCGGGACCGATGCGGCGCGGCGGACGGCGCGTGCCGGGGCGGCGGGCCGGGCGGCGGCGGGCGGCGGCGTGCCGGTCGCATCGCGTGGCGCGATGCCCCGCGGGGCGCGCGGAGGCCGCCAGAGCACCGACCCGCCGGAATGCCGGGGCCCCGCGATTCCGCGGCCGGAAGCGCCCTCCCTCGGCCGCTTCGGCACGCGAGCCGACGCGGGGCGCGAGGGGCCACGCCGTGCAGATCCCGACGGAGAATCTTGGCCAACCCCGGGGGGCGGGCGAACGTTACGCTACGTCGTCATTCCCTCCGCGAAATATGATTCTCGCTCATTTTCGAATGCGGAGGACTCCCTGCAAATCCATATAGTATTAGTCCTGTTTCAATGAACGGGGGTCTGCTACTTGAATAAGACTAGCACTCAAAGAACCTAAGCGCCACACAAACAAGATACACGGTTTGAACAGACTATATAAGTGTCACTCCAACCGAAGTTATCCAGTAACATGTAACAGAGAAAACTGAAATGACACCGTTTTCAAATGAGAAAAGCGCGTCATAAAGATGTTGTGTTTAACATTCTACTCTGAAATGCCAATTTACGGAAATGCGAAGCGCGATTGTTGTAAGCACGCACACCGCATTGCGGTTATGGATACAGATATAATACATTTAAATTCAAAGAATCATAATTTCGTGCTTATGTTAAGTAATATACATAAAAATAAAAGCAAAACTTGTAACAACGTTCATAGAAACCGTGCGGATGGAACTGGGAAACTCGGTAGCCTGCTAGTTGACAAATTAATGCAATCGCAATTATACAAAGGGTTCAAAATAATCTATTGTAGGTGAACTCCAAACTTTTCGGCAACTAAAACTAATATGGGATACTCTTGTAACTTAAAACTTATTTAAAAATTAGTTTAATGTAAAACATGCCAGAATAAGACATAATATATACCGTGTCTCATGATTCTTCGAGTACATTTCTAACTCAAAACATGACAGATGTTTGAACGAATGAACCAGAAAAACTTCACTCTATTCTATTTTTTCGATGCGACAAAGATATTTGACGTTCTCGCTACAATTTTTAATGATATTTGACAATTAAGAAAATGGAAAACGATCTGTAATAATATTCAAAACATATATGAAACTACTATTTCAAAATGTTTACACTCAACGAAGTGCAACGCACTGTACGTCATTGATGCCCACAATTTACACCAGAATAAAAACAAGTGGCAATGTCGAAGAGATTCTAATCTCCAAAGAAATACTTTTGCTCGTAAAGAATATTAATATAATTCAGACACACGAATATGAAATAGGATCAAATAGTATTTATACTTGAATTACTCAGTTCTTTATTCGTCCTAAAGTGACTTCCAAAAACCCGTATGTTGGCTTAAATTGATCACATTAAAGACCGAATCCCTGGAAAACGCACGGTTGTAAAATCCACGAGGATAGGAATTTTATCTACATATTAACAGAATTTTGGCGAGGTAATTCTGGAAAATGCTAAACCGGCGCAGGCCCGGTCGGCGGGCGCGCGGGGCCCGCGGCGACCAGGAAGCCGCCTGCGCGTCGCCGGCTGCGGGGGGCCCCGGCCCGGCACCCCAGCGGCCGGCCCCGGCACGCCCGAGCCCGCGCGCGCCCAGCGCCCTGCCGTTGCTTGGGGCCGGCTGGTCGGCCCGACGCGCCTCACCGAAAACACACGTACACGCACTCGTGGCCGCGGCCGGCCGGCCTCCGCGGACACACGCACCACGCCAAGACACGTCGAGCTCAAGGGACAATAGAGCAGGGGCAACTAAAGAGACACGAAGCGGGAATGTTTCGAGTAAGCTTGCAAATGCTAACGTTCGGTGATAAGACATGTGGACGATTAGAATGCATAGACAGAGATATAAGCGTTGTCACTAGGTAGATATCGTTTGCCATGTATGATGTGCGTATGTGCCCCGTGATATTATTGTACATACATCATGGCAAAAAATATATGTAGGAGATGCTACCAAGGCATAATATTTAGCATCATCCATTTGTTGCAATCAATTGAGCTTATTTCTTATAATTAAAGGTAAATAATATTAATTACGTTGCCTTAAACATGAAATGCCGCACACCGCGGATAACGATTCGCAAGCTTACAAGGAACATTCACTGCCATTTATTGCAAATAATACGAAATGCACACTGAACTGAGAATGAAAATATGAATATGAAAAAAATATAATTTTATCAAGCACATCTCACTACCTCGAAGGGGGAATTGTAGAGTAAGCATAGTAAACAAGGATGTCATCTACGATCGCGATTCGAATTGCACATCATAAATTAATATCGTAATGTATTAATATCGAGACATGCAGACACAGCATATTGGGAAATAAATACCTTCTATGTTATTTCAATGACTTCACACGAGATTTAGCACTTTATACAAATATATTCAGAAATAAACTTCACTTCATTTGTGTCTTCCAACGAATAAGCCGCCGCGGGACACGTTGAATCGCGGGAGAAATTGGCGCAATTCGATCATCTGAACTCTTCCCCGACACGTCCGCGCGAATGCGGAAGACAGACCCACTGATTCCGTAGAAAAGGCGCAAAGCCGTGAAAAGTCCCTGACGTCGGTCGCGCAAACATGAGCCCACGCGAGCGCCGACGTCGGCTGAAAAAGCACGCGTGTGCCGGACGGCCGCTCGCGCAGCACGTGGGGCGCAGGGCACACAGACGCGCGTGTGACAGCGGCGCCGCGGCGGCGGCAGCCCCGCCGCCACCGCCGCCGCCGCCGCCATCGCCCGCGGTCCCGTGCGCCCAACACCTGACCCGACCGGGCCTCGGAGACAAAACCTCCAACCCTATTCAGAACCGGTACGCTGTTGTTTTTTGCGGTGTCTGCCCCGGTAGTGGGCCTTTTATGCACATGGAAATGACCCCCACGAAGACCGCCCGGCAGCCGGAAGAACATACTGGTCTTCCCCGAAGTCCGCATTCAAACCGAATCTAGTTTCGGCAACTCGAGTTTTAAATTCTATACGCATTCATAACGAAAGGCTACTACTACCGCTTACAACGGAAGCTCCCCGCCGGCTAGTGGATGGTCGGGGAAAGCAGCAGGCACTTCCGACCACACGTGATTGAGAGCGCGTGAGATGAAGATCGCTGCGGAACAGAACGTGTAGTGCGCGAGTGAGGCGACAACTAAGACGGTGGAGTAGTGTGTATAAGTGTGTGGAGTGTTCGACGGCACAGGTAGGTGGTGTTGTCAAGTGGCGGAGAGCGCCATGCTTCGCGTACAAAGTGATGTCCGCGGCAACGCACGCCGTGCTGTGCGCCGATCGCCACGGAGTGTCAGGCAACGTGACACCGTGCAGGCCAAGGACCGCGCCGCCTACCATGCACATGCGGAGCTCCCGCCGCGCGCGCTCACCTGTAATTCGTTGACTAGCTTCTCCGTCATCATCTTAGTATCCGGCGGCGTGACGTGGCCGGGTGGCGGCTGGTTGCCTCCGTTGTTGTTGTTGGCATTGTTGTGGTTGGGGCTGTCGGGCATGGGGCCGGGCTGGCCGTTGCCCGCGCCTTGCTGCCCGCCCATGGGACTCTGCTGGGCCTGCTGGCCGGGGCCGGGGCCTTGCTGGCCCGGCCCGGGGCCCTGCTGGCTCTGGCCGGTCGGCGTTCCCACCCCAGAGGCCGCTCCGGCTGCGGCAGCCGCGGCCGCGGCCGCCGCCGCCGCTGCCGCCGCCGATTGCTGGCCTAAGTTGGGCGCGGGCGGTAACGTTGGCGGCCCGCGCGCCTGTTGCCAGAAATCTGGATCCATCTTGAAGACTGACCGTGCAGCCTGTTGTTGAACCTCGGCCGACATGTGGTCCGGAACAGGCGTTGCACGGAGATCCAATGGGGTTGGGATCGAGTTCAAAGTTATGTCCGTAATTTTGACAAGTGTTTCTTTAAAACTTGGGGGACACAAACAATCCTTCCTCTAGCGTTTTAAAAAAATAGCCCGGCGCTTTAGTGGACGCCGAGTCTTGCTTTAGTGCTTTAAGGCTTAGGAACAGGAACAATTATACTCAGTAATAGGAATATGAGGTATATGAGGGATGAGATCCCTTGGTAGTTAGTTTCCGGTTAGGAGTTCAGGACTCTTGACAGGAAAATCCTGAAAGGATATTACAAGAGGATTGACGTACGGTGAACAAGTAATGCCGTTTTTGACAATATTCTGTTGTCGTTTCAATGCCCTTGCTGATTCCTTTTTCTTCTTCTTGTCATCAATGCCCAAGTAGATTTGTAAGTACTTTGTGTTTTGTACGACTTGCAGTTCTATCACATAAACTTTAGTTTAAAAATCTTTATTATAGCGATTCGACTGTTCGGTAGCACTCTTCACATTCAACAGAAAACCTGAAATGTCACTTCTGAGGTAGTAAAATGACACATCACATGCTATTCTTCTGGTTATCTGGTTTCACTTCCGGAAACATTGATGGAAAAGTTCGTCTTGAAACAGTAGCGGTGATAACGCAGGAGATAGTTGTATTCTTCTATGCCTGACTGAACGAATGACAGGACAACAGATATATGTCCAGATGAGAAAGGCTCTTCTTTCCCCTTTTTTGTTTCGTCCCTTACTCGCAGCTGTTTTCTACTGGTAGATGTCCCTCTCTGGCGGCGTCCCTCTGAATCACCACACCGGTCAACCCCAGTTTTTTTACTTGCGTGGAACTCACTGGTTCATTGTTACAGATGCGGACGAGACACCCCGTTTCAGCTGTGCCGCAGAACCTGCAAAGATAGCAAAACAAAACGAGCCAAAATTAGTTTACAAGTTTTCACGAAACAAATGTCACATCATGAAATTGTCTTTCCCGCACATTTAGAAGAAACTAAACATAGGGGCAAAAGCACTGTCTCGCGAATCTACTGTTAAGAGTACTGCACTGAGAGCCCACATTGCAAAGATGACAGCGCGAAAATGTCAGTGAAATCCAAAAATGAAATCACTCACAACAAGTCAAAATCGTATTACGTTATGGTACAGAATGACAATGCGTGAAAATAGCACATGTTGTTGAATCACAAGCAGCTGACAACGCAACAACTCAAAACACGGTTCAAATTCTCAACCAGAAATGTCCATGCGAATTCCATACAAAAATATGAAAACATGTTAACACCTTCGAAACAGCAATGAAATTCAGACGAATCCGCAGAAACGCGTCAAGTCGAAGCGTATCTTCCAAGTCGCGACGACTCGAACTGCCACTAAACGCGAACGCAGGAAGACGCATCCAGTCGCAGTAGTATCCGGCAACGCTACGATAAGGGCGCGCAGACTAGAAGCCACACGGGCCGAGCACGCACATGCAGAGGCGGCGTCGCCGAGTGATGCGTCGCGTTCGGGGGCGAGCAGCCAACTGATACGGCCTTCCAAGGAAACCTCTAACTTATAACAAACTCCGTCAATTCCTTTTGCGGAAGAGACGGCGCAGCGAGCGAGCGCCTTCCAAGGAGAACCCTTCCTCCCTCTGGCTGGCCCTGCACCCGCACTACTAGACGCCCGACTCCGACGCCGCCCCCCTGGCAACGACGCCCGACGTCTCCGCCCGCGACACACGAACTGATGAAGGAAGAGGAAACCTTCGCGCTCTCTTCCTTTCGAAAAGGAAGAGGAAAGGAAGCGGTCCCAAATAGAGAGAGAGAAAGAGAAGCGCAAAATACTACCCTCTCTTTCCATTCCCTCTTAGACGCTGCGCGGACAAACCCTTCCTATTCTAAAATCTTTTCTCCTGCCCCCTCCGCGTCTACCATCCCTCTCCTTTTCATCCCCCTTCACTGGTATATTTTCCTTACGACTTTGTGCGCCGGCGTCTGGCGCTGGCTGCTCACAAGACTTCGGCGTCGTTTTCTCCACGACGCTTCGCCTGCTCTCCCTCCTCTACCCCTCTCTCCGCCCCTCTCTCCCCCCCACCTTTCTCCCTCCCTTTCCTCAAGGGGAGAAAAACCCCTTGTTGCCTTGCCTTCGCTTATACACTAGGATTTTTTCACCCCTTTTCCCCACTCCGAGACAAGTTTCTGGAGGGGGGAAGTGAAAGCAAGGGGAAGCAGCGCCGTACGGAGGGCGGTCGTGGAGGGGGCGCGAGGGGCACGTAAGGGGAAGTAAAGGGAGGGAGAGACGCCGCGCGGCGCCGCGCCGCCAGATGACCGACGCCGAAGGGGTGCGAGGGAGGAAAAAGGGCAGGGGTGAGCTAGCGCGGCGTCTGAATCTCCGTTCTGGAGGCGACTACTTGACACAATCTATTACGCAGTGGTCAGAATTCGGCTGTTCTAGGCGGCCCGCGCGAGGGCGACGTCCGCGCGTCTAGGCCGGCCGCGCGGCGGCCGGCGGCGCCGGCGCGAACGACGCCCTCGCCGTCATTCCAATGATCGGAATGACGCGCGGGCCGCGCGCCAGGCGCGGCTCGCGCGGGGCGGCGCGGCGGAGAGCGGCGCGGAGCCAGCCCCAGGCCGCCCGCCGCGCCGCGCCGCACGCGCGCGCTTCGCCCGCACGCAATGCGGGCCGTGCAGCGAGGGGCGTTTGCGGCGACGCGCGCGCGGCGAAGAAAGGAGAACGGCGACGCGCGAGGGTGGCGTGGCTCGCCGGAACTCGCGCGCGCGGCGCGGCAGCGAGCTGACAGCATCACGTGGGAGAGCGCCGCTCGCGCGTGCGCCCCCGGGCTGCCCGCGGCTAGAGCTGCGCCTCGACCGCCGGCGGGCTGCGGCGTCCGCGCCGCCTCCACCGCTCACGTGGCGGCGGAGCTGCACCGCCTGTCGGCCGACGCCGGCCGCCCGATGGAGAAGAAGCACACCCGACGCCCACGCCCACGTGCTCGCCGCCAGTAGCCTTGCACGTAAGTAAGCGCCAGCCCCGCGGCCCGCCGCTGCCTGCCTGCCTGCCTGCTGCCTGCGGGGCGCCGCGCGCCGAGCCTAATGCGCGAGTTCTTGCGCGGCCGGCCCAGCTGATCACCGGACCGTAGGTTGTTGAATGAGCTGCCGTGACGCCATGCATCGTGTTTAGAGGCCGAGTCCCGCGCGCTTTTATTGACAAGCGTTCATCGCGAGTAGCAAACAGTGTGTTCCAAAATAGATCGTTGTGTTGTAAGTTTTTGCCTATTGTTTGAAGAGCTTATGGCCTCTGTACGTGCTGTAAATAGTAGGAATGCCAATTTGCATATCAGGAGCGAATGTGTTTGTACACATGTAATGTACACTTGCATGTAAGGAAACGTAAGTGCATACATTGTTTCTTACAAGCAGGATGAAATGATAGGGTGGAAAATGATTCGGAACACCAAATAATGTTAACCACGGCCATAAATGTTGTTCGAGGTATTTTTTATATATCGACGAAAATCTTAAAAATATGCTACAAGAAATAATGGTGTTAAATGATTTCAAGAATAATGTGTATTTAATCATACCTTTAGTAATCATTCTCATAATAGGATAAATAAGGTAGTCAATACTGTGGGTACATCGTATTGTTTTAAAATTTGTTCGAATAAAATATTACAATTTCTTTAAAAAATAATGTGCAGGAAATTTTTCTTAATCATTCTCTTGGAAATTTATGTAAATATAGAGAAATTAGCAGAAATAGTTAAATTATTTTTTGAACTATTTTATTCAAGTAAATCATAAGAAGCTACGATTTTATGAAACATCATTGAAATTATAGTATGTAGTTGTGCAACCCATGTATTCTTCTGCAATGGGGTCCTGTAAATGTCATCGAAGATTTGCATCGTCTATTGTACTCTCTTCGAGTTACTAAACACCTCGAGTAACTGGGGCAGGTAACCGTGAATGAAAGAAGTATGCGGTAAAAGAACTAAAAATATGTGATTTTGCGCATGTAGAACTATTTATCAGTTTTCGTCAGCTCCATCGTTTCGGCCAACCGAGCAAACGCACAGCCACCTCGAGCCGCGGGTGGGGCGGCGGGCGGAGTGGGTGGGTTGGCAGGACGTGAGGCGGGGCGCGAGCGGAGCGGGGGCGAGGGCGGGGGTGGACGTCTCCTGCCGGGGGCGGGCGCAGGCGTCAGGGGCGTCTGCGTAGTGGGGGGTAGTCGCACGCACCGCCGCCCGCCCGGCCCCCCGCCCGCGCCCCTACGAACAGCCGCGGTGGCGGTGGGGGCTGGCAGACGGCACAGGCACGGCGCGGCACCGGCACGCACTCCCAACCAGCGAGCGAGCTACAGATTGCTGTAAGGGAGCGGCCGGTCGTGCGCGACGCGGGGGCACGGCCGGCACGCAGCCTGAATCGGCGTGCGGCGCGCGCGGCGAGGAGCGCGGGCGGGCGCGGGCGACCGGCCCAGCGCGCCCGGCCCGGCCGATCCTCTTCCGCTCCGCTTCTCGCGGCCGTCTAGGACGCCGCGAGTACCGAGCAAAACGTGCGTCGACGGTGGGCGTCGCTGGCCCGGCCCGGGCTTGGATGACCGTCTGCCCCCGTCCCGCCCCCCGCGCGCACTCGAGGCCCGCTCGGCCAGGCCCGCACCATCCGCCGACTGACGGCTGGCCTTTTCCTCTGTTCCTTTTCTGGTGCTGTTCTTTCAACCCGCGCCCTTTCACCTTAGCTTGCTCCTTCACGTACTAGAGGCGTTGTTAACTTCGGTCACTTTTGTTAGAAATCCTTGCCATCAGGAATTCAATATATTACCCGCTGAATTAACAATATTTTACATAAGCTCTTCAACGTTCCAATTTCATTACATTACAAATGACTAGATATATAACTCATGTCTTAAAAACATTTTTCTCTGTCTCCGCACTTTGTTAGTTCTTTCTCTATTACTTCAATTAATGAAATCTCGCCATCAAAAAATTGGATCATGTCCTTCATATATTTCTACCTCTATTGCGTTTATTCCACTAAAATTAATTTTATTGCTAGTGCGGAGAGTAGCCTTGGAGTTGTCGTCAAGCTCATCCAATTTATGCGACACGGCTGCATGTGCAGTCAAACATATTCGTGTCTAGAATTACAGTCGACCTAAAGCGGGAAGTGCATTTTCATCACAATGATTGATTATTTAATTTTCACACGAAGTCAATTAAAATTCTATATTTCTTGTGTGAAACTGTATATTCTTAGAGATGTCACAGTTCACACTTTTTTTTAAATGTTACAGGAGAGCAGCCAGTATTGGAAGGTATTGGAACTGGCAAAAATATGCTTGTTTTCGGGCTTGCTAACAACGGCCGTCAGGCTGAACAGGTATTTCTGCGAGTCAAGTGCAACGAGATATTTTTACATTAACCTGTGCATGACAAAATTATTACGATCGGGACCGTCAAATTGCATCCTCGTGTTATACATCAAATGACCAACAACCATTTTGCATTTTTTCAACTCTTTTAATCCCTTTACCTACAAGGGTATGAAATGTGAGCATAAAAGTCTCTAAAGAGATTTGAGTTTAAAAATTATTGACGTGCTGTTGGCATTGTATTTTTATTTTATATCGCATAACGAGGGCCAGTGCGGGATGAATCTCGGATAGTCAAAAGAGAAGTGAAAATAAAAGGACGAATGGAGTTTTTTGTACGATTCGAAACAATCACAAAGATACTGCGATATGTTCCACGAGTCTTCCCTCATCATCTGCATATGTAGTTCTGGTGGTTGGTCTCTTGATGCATGACATTGATATATGTACGCACATGCATGAAATTGAGCCTTTGTTTTCGCATACGGAATTATTTAGGAACTTTCCGCTTGTGAATAAGTAGATATGCTCCGGACAATAGAGAGAGGAACTGGAAAGGAGGAATCCTGAAACGTCTCTTAGTTCTTTACTTGATTTTTCTGATTAATTTGCCTATTCTCTTGCTAACTTGAGCAGTGTCGAGTTCACAAAATATTAATTTTCAGTAATCACATAATTTCCTTTTACGACGTCTATTATCTAATCGTATATGAACTAGTAATATTCAGTGGCCAATCGAGAGGGGAGGGGGTCTCCACCCCATTCTCATCCCCTGAAACTAATCGCAGAAAATCACAATAACATTGTTGTCTAATTGGAGAAATGAAAATATTTTAGTAATTCTCTTTTTTAATTTTGATCTTGATTGATTTCTTTTGCTGATACTGTTTGAATTAAATCTTAGGAATCAAACTTCCCATTACTATAAATATATAATTAGACAATATATTCTAGAATTGTATTTGTATTTTATGTTGGCTTTCACTAGAAGTCTAAATCAAGGCTGTGTTGACTATGACATCTGTAGGACTCCCTCCCTCTAAGAATAATCCTGGTTGATCCAACTGTAATACATGTCTCCTTTCCGTTCGCTTCTCAATATGAATAATATTTATGATCAATTATCATTTCTCGATTTGATTCATAGTTTAATTCCTTATATGGTAAATAATTAAGAATATCATGTGCCTAATTCACATATATTTGCGTTGGAGAGTTACGGATGATTTGAAATATTTTATTCAAATATACTTTTGAAGATAATATTAAATAAATAATACCATAAATAAATTTTGATTATAACACAATCCCATCCCGTCAGCTTATCCCGCAAACCCAAAGACTATCAGCTGCTACGACACAGGTAAGTGTAAATTTCCCAAAACAAGAAACTGATTAATAACAGTGTTTTTATTTTGATGATCGTCCAAGTAATTTTTCCAGTGAATGATTCGTCTAAAAGTATATATATTATAAAACATTTATATTTTATTTCTTCAGGATTTTGTAAACACTAAGGATGATTCGAGCAGGAAAAGTTATATTCAAAATTAAATCATAGGTTTCATGTCTATAATGCAGTTGTTAAGTAATAGGTATTTATCAATAATTATCAGTTTAAAGTATTAAATAGTTTATCAGTGTATGATGTAACTACTACTGAATCACTATTACAGCAGAGATTGTCTTGATTTCTCATATGAAATAATGTATGAAAACAAACATATGAAAACATGTTTCCTCGGAAAACGTATACTCATTTTTGTATCACAGAAAATTATTTAATTTTTTCTATTGATCACTACAACAATAAAATTAATTTAGCATCAGAAGGTAAAGTTCTAGTTTACTGAGATCTTTTCCCTCATTTAAGTGAGGCATTTACTATTACTTCAACTACTCTCGGACAGGTAAATGTTCGTTCGGTCATCGGTTCTTTTCTTTATATCTCTTGCAGACCACTGAGCAATACCTTCTCATAAAGTGTTTTACGAGGGACACAAACCTATTTTACTATCGAAGAAACCCTGCCTGCCACTCTCGTCGCGGTATATATTAGTTGTAGAGAGAGAGAGAGAGAGAGAGAGAGAGAGAGAGAGAGAGAGAGAGAGGAGGTAGTCTAGCTGGTAAGAAGGGTGTTTCTGCATGGAAGCTGCTGCAATGCGCCACTGCAAGAGGATCTTCGTTCTCCACAAATTTCACCAATACCATCTTTCGTTATAAGCACATTAATACTTTCTTAAAACACATGAAGTTTCTACCATAAATAAAATCAACATTGCGAATATTCTGATGTAGATTTAATACCTCAATGTTCAATTAAAACATACGTTTCTTGTACTAGTGTAAATAGCTAATGACATTTTACAATTTTTCATTTAAAGTACTCACAATACTTTCGGTAAATGATTTGTCAATATTTTCGCATGTCCAATATGCACCAAGAATTTAAGCAATTTGGCATTTACTAGCCAAAACATTGAAGATAAAATGTGGAATTAAAAAAGTTGTAATTTGGTTACTAATAGGTTATCTTTTTCTTAAGTTTTTCCAGCTATTACTCGGTACATAAGGTAATTTTACAAAGGATCCTTCGCTTCGTAATTTATTTGACTCTATATATTAAGCAATTCTTACAACACAATTCACACATTTATATTCTCAATCATTACTCATATTTTCTTAACTTCATAGATAAGAAAACTTCTCACACAAGTATCTTAATTATTTATTTTTAGATGAAGAAACTAACATGAAATGATACAATAGTTCACCAAAGTAGTTTTAATTGAAATGAAATTAGAAATTGACTTGCAAAAAGCAGCAACTCAGTAAGTATGTTCTTTTATATACATAATACGAATACCTCTCACTATTTTGCTAAATATTCAGGTACAAAAATATACAAATTATATAAAAACCTAGTGACATTTCATAGCAATATAAATCAGTAATTCAGATACCACATGATACTTGGTAAGGTCTACCAACTGGTCGGGAATATTGAATCAATAATAACGTGCCACACAGAATCCATTTTATTTTGCAGGTAGCACAAATAAGAATACTCTACATTCGTAAGCATATGGAATAAAAGAAACAGTTTTGTAGCGTCTCGTTCATAGAGCTAGTGCTTACTACAACGAATATTAAACGTTGGCATTATTGAAAGAAGGAGGCGCTTCGAAAGTTAATGAAGCACATACGCGTGAAGGTTTCTTTAAATTCATTTTCTTAATAATATAGTATATCTTTGTACTGTCAGAATCATAAGAGCTCGTATTCACGTGGAAATATGTTCAAATTACATCCAAGGAAATACTGCACAATCCACTGATATCAATCCTTATTCGTGTCTTCATGAAATGTTTTTGAATCTTATGATCCAGTAAGACTCGAAAGAATTGACACAGTAATTCTCAAGACCGTTCATATCAATATTTTTAATCGCACATAATACAACAAGAACACTGTAGAAGAATTCGCTATGGAATAGAACAATAACTACACTATCTGACACTATAGTTCAATTGTTTCAGTGTCATCGGAAATATAATAATGATGAACATGAAAAACTCGTTCTCGCATTTTAAACATCCGTTATTAAACCCTAACATTTGTCGCGATATGGCTTTCCGGCCCTCGCGACACGCTGCCGTCGGCAAGTGACCAGTTGTCATTTGCCGACGCCAGCGATCCGAGGCTATAAAATGGCGAGGGCTTCGCACCTCGCCCCCTCTTATTACACGTCCACCTGCCGGAGCCAGCCGGAGCCATGCCACCCACTCCCAGGACGTAGGGTCCACTACGCGGGTAAGTGAATTTATTAAAATATATTTAAGATATACTCTCTTTTCTTCCTGCACGAGTTTGTGGGGTCCTCCCTCTCCCCCTCAACTCGCGACAATTCATTGAGGCTTTCATTCACCAAGACGCAACGAACGGACGTAGTCAATACAGACTGCTGCAGTAATACAGTCCGGCGCTACGTCATCTCTTTCGAATTATTTCGCGTAAACCACGACAAAGCATTTACTTTATAATACAGACTGACTACGTCTATTGAACTTATAGAAAGCAATGTGACGTTCACTTCGGAACATTGGCCGTTGGCTACTCACCGAGAACTGCGCACAGTGGCCGTGCGTGTCAACACCAGGGAAGAGGGCAGCTCGCCCCGTGACGCGCGACCCACGTGCATTGGACGCCGCAGCCCATTTCGGCTACAGTCGCAGCACTAATATCAAAACATGACGTCCTTACGAACATTATACACCGTGGAGAACCGAACGCGACTACAAGAACGCACTACGCCTAGGCCCGAACACATCCTTCGACGACGCACTACGTAAACACAGCAAAGCTTTAAGAAACTTGTATTTAAGGCACCCGTTCCCGAGTAGTAACACCTGCATAATAAAACGGCTACATCTTTTGAAAAACAGACAAGGAGGACCTCCTTAAGTCGCCTCCCCCACTCCCGCTTTCCCGTCTCCCCTCCACTAGCATCGAGCTTCCCTTTCACTCATCCCCCCAAGGCATCGCCGCTCTATCTCTGTCTTCCACCAATACACAGGCGGAGCGCACATGAACGTGCACCAATACATGCGCTCCGCGGAGGTACTACTGGAGGCGAAAACATCGACCGCTACGGATAAGAAGTCGAATACGCTTCGAAGTCTTTGTTGTAAACAATAGAAGGAAGGTGTTACGGAGGTTGTGATTTTGGGTTTTTTATGGAAAATCATTCAGTGAATAAAGACACATCAGTTGTTTCATTGCGGTACATGTTAAGTACAGCCAATACAAGCAGACGTCGCCAAGCAGAGCTCCACTCTACCGGCGAACGCGGGAAACCTCAGAAAATCCTTTCGGGGTAAGTCACGAGAAGGAAACGTTGCGAAGCAGAGACAAAACGTTCGTGTTTTCATATCGACGCAAATCACTTTCATGAATGTAGAATATAGAAACAATAATATCGATATGTTTACAAATTCCCTGTTCGACAGAAACGATCATTAAAATTTATTACTCTAATCATTTCCATTTGTAAAAACATACTGTAGACAATGAAAGACGATTTGCCTCCTTTTGCAGCGTTTTAGAGAGAAACAAATTGAATGTAGAAATTTCGCTTGTTTCATTATTTGTATTCGTAAATTAATTGTTTTCACTTGTTTGAGCCCGTTCTTTCCAGAGGAATAAAATTTACTAGCAAAATATGTATAATTTTTACACAGAATGACATTCCAAGCAAATACGGTGTGAACATTGCATTCTCCGGATACGTCATTTAAAATAGACAATTCTATTTCTTTTTGTTAATTGGTATGTGGTCTAGGTCTAAGAAGAAATATTCGTTCAACATATGCATGCTTGTCTGATATTTTAGTATACATTTTATATTAGATGTATATCTCATGGGGTCTACAATTGTCACAAAGGCAAATTAAAAAAGTATGCAAGCGCCATGATTTTATTTATTATTTTCCCGACAGATGCATTAAGAGGTAGACGATTTGGGATGATTAAAAACATAAGGTAAAAAAGCATTACTTTATCTATGTGTGAAATTTATATGGAAGTAAGAATAATGCATTATAATATAATACACTACATTATATTCTATTGCACAAGGAAAATCTTGGGACATATTAGTTCAACAAATGCATGATTTTGTGATATTTCAGTATACATTTTATATTTTATGGATATCTTATAGGACCTACAAATCTCACAAACACAACTTAAAAAGGCATGGAAACGCCATGGATCATTTCCAGGGAGATGCATTTATACATGCAAAAGTTTTGGTATGATTAAATAAAATTCTGAATAAGGTAAAAAGTCATTGCTTTATCTTTGTATAAAAGTTATATCGAAGCGAGAAGTATTATTATTTCTATTGGGAACATTTGACGCAAGGTAACTAGAATAAAAATAAATGCAGGAAATACATACAGAAGGGCTTGAAAGAAATACATCGCCTCGGCAGTGGTCGGAAATAAAACGGAAAATCCAGCGCGTAAGCGCGGAAAGGCAGTGAATCAAATGAACTTCCAACACTAGAATTGAATTGCCGCAATCTAGTTCATCATTATTAAATAAATAAAGAATGAACAGAGAGACAATTTTTGAGGTTCAATCGCATACAATATATAATTTCGGAAACGATGACTAGTCGAACAAGAAACAGCTTTCAAATGAAATGATGTGCGTAGAAGAGACAAACGGCAGCGCTTTGCGGGAGAAAAGGAAGTAGTCGCGGGGACGTTGCAGCTC